GCCTGGGAGCACAGACCTGACATGAGTACCAAGCTTTGGAAGCATGTAGGGCACTTCAGTACAATATTTTGAGTGCTGTATGTTGTCTGGAGTCATGCTGAAAGCTTTCTGGCTAGCTATAGTCCTCAGAGTAACTTAAGTGACCTCTAAAATCATGCCATGGTGTTAGCTGGAGACAAGAAGGCACATTCATTCTCACCCACAGTAAGCCACCTAAAAGAGTTTCTCTACAGGACATGTGAAAGGAAAAGGGAGGAAACTACTTGAAGGCTACTTGAGAAAACTTAAATTCCTCAGTAGAGGGACTTAATAATTAGACCTCATGAGACATTTAATAAATGCTGAAAAACACTACTAAACTTTCTGCAAAATATCCTATGAATGCAAAATAAATGACCTGATTTAGCATGTGACGTTCTTTCCTAGAAGCCTGATGGACAGGTCTGCTCTTCAGTCCCATGGCTGTGTCATTTTCAGCAAGGCAAGCCACATGAACCCCAATTCAATAACACCTTCCATCCGCAAAACATTATCAATGATTTTTTTTTATTCATCTCCCACCTAACCACACAGAAAAAGAACATGGGTCTGTATTCTGAAGCAGAAAAGGATGGCCAGCCTTGCAGCAGATGGGGATACCTCACAGGCACCCCAGCCCTTTCCTGACACGTGGAGCTGCAGCAGTCTCATCCCTGCAGCATGTCCTCACTGCCACACTCATGAAGTAGCAAAGAACTCAAAGCCCACTGCAAGTGTTTCTCCATGGAGGCAGTGCAACTCCCTCACCCGCCTCCGCTGTGTCATGGGAAACGGCCACAGGCCCGGGCAGAAGCAGAGCAGTAGATCAAGTGGTTCTCCTAACTCTTGCACCAGCCTGAAAGTCATCTACCTCCCTGCTCCTGTTCAATGCCAGGAAAGTGATTTTGGTTTGCGCTTTCCATTGCTGTGAAATGTACTAATGCAAAGTTCTACCCAAGAGCTAGATTTCACTATAGCTGCCTATACAGTTCAAACTGGCCACCTTCCAAACACAACCATCCTACAGATTTTTAAGTATGCAAATCCTACGTACATTAAAAACCCATAGTCAACAGCTCAATCTTTAATCATAGTCTGGATAATTTTTACAGTTCAGTATTTAAGCAGGTTTTATATTCTCCTATTTAAAGAGTGACTGTCTAAGACTAACATTCATTACAAACTTCTGTGATTGCTAGTGAAAGTAGATACACATTTTGGAAAGTGTAACAGGAGATTGTGCTATAGCTTCTGTTAGTTGAGAAAAACCCATAAAACTTATTTGCATACTGTCATTGTTATGACTGAAACTTCCTTTAAATGTGTTTCCTTCCCAGCAAGCATATGTGAAAGGTGACCTCTTATCCATTTACATACCTCCCTGGTGGTCATGTGACCCAGTTTTACGTCAAACTGTCAATTATGATAAGGGACACAATAAGAACAGCCTAAGTGTTGATAACCTGTTTCCTGGCTTTACTGAGAAGTTCTGTTTTAAGAGTCCACTTGTGTTCTTCTTTCAGCCTTCTGCTGAAAGCAAAAGCAACATCCACCCAAAACACTTTGCAAACAGATACTCTGTGTTCAGTGGACATTTAAGTTTACAATTTCCACGATGAACAGTATGAATATACTCCATTTTGAACTGTGTGATTCAGTAAGTAAAGGATGCATCTGGTAAGAACAACTTCCTACCGAAGAGGCAGGGCGGTCTGGTGTGTAAAAAGCTATCTACAATTTTCTGATTTTGTATTTTAGAAACCTGAAGTGTTTATTACTACATATGTGGCAAATGACTCACTCATAAATGTCAAAGCTGTGTGAAAATCATGCATACCACACACCACACCTGGAAAGCCCAAGCTCTAGTGGAAACCTTGCCATTGTATTAATCAGTGCATAGACTGGAAGAGTTTGCCAGCTCCTCAGTAATTGGGCTAGCATTAGTTGGCACAGTTTACTGTAACAGACAGGAAAGTTCTAGAGGTCATTGTCTTCACGTACCTCAATAACTATCCCGTTTATTTATATTTTCTAATTAAAAATGGAATCATCCATACAAGGCTCTGAGGTGCATTAAAATAAATAAATGGCCAGGAAAGAAAACCTGACAGCTATTTCATTCATTCCAACAGAAATCTTATTATTTGTGAAACCATTAATCTGTATTTTCAATAAATACAAATGTCTATCCATCCATCCAACCTTCCATCCATCCATCTATCTATCTGGTATTTTTATACTGTTTCAACAGGTAAAGTGCATGACTAGTATTTCTGGCAACATTCTAGCTTTATAGCCAGAAACAACATCAACCTGTCTCTATCATTTCAAGAACATAATAAAGTCATCAAGTTGAGAGCAGTAACACAAGGATGCTACAGAAACGCTATTACATAACCATGAGAATTCTGTTACTTTAGACTTTGTTACTGAACTTTTTAGCCAAAAGAATGGAGACACAACTAGAATCTGGCAAGGAACTGCGTCCACTTGTACAAGATTGAATTAGAGTGAGTTTCCTCAATTTGTTTTTTTTCCCTCTAGTCGAGCCTTAGAAACCACAAATCTTCAATAGATACAAATCAGAGAAAGAAGGAGGGGAAAAAAGGTGCTCCCATATAATCGTGAAGATCGTCCAACCTTTCTTTTATGCGCAATTCATTTAAGATGCTTCTCAGCCCAGATGATGAGCACCGAGTAATAGATTTTATTTCATAAAATAATCCCATCAAACACCAATATAAAAATTAAGAAAAACTCTCTCACTCAGGTACTAGCTCTTATCACTTCCCTTGCCCCTTCCTATGGTGCCCTCCCTGTGGTTACATTATCAATACTTTCAACTCTCAGAAAAAGATGCTGAATGAAGAAAAGCAAACCAAAAAACACGGTCATTAACAATTTGTAATATGCACTTTAGGGGTGGCTGACATGACTTTTTTACAACAAAATTATAAGATACCTGTGGCTCTCTAGTTGCTGCTGGAGCAAGAGATGTTTTGTAACTATTCATGTCACAGTATAGAAATACCTGGCATTTCAAGGCGGGTAACAGAAAGACCCACCAGCAATCGCAGCAGAAAATGGACTGCATAGTTATAATTCCTCATTAGAACCTTGTCTCTTAACTATCAACATAGTATGGTAAGTAATGGATGTAACAGCATATTTTTCACAATATCCAGATCAGTAAAAGCAAATTAACTGCTCCCATTGGTGCTATTATGCACTGTCTTTCAAAGTTGTATTCAGTGCTTCCCATCTAAATGTGAGTATTCCAGGTAGGTTGTGCTATAAATCGTTTACTGGAAGTTTTAGCAAACTATCACTTTGTCAAAAGACCCCATGTAAGTGTGTCTTGCAAAATACATGTGTAACTTTTAAATTGATTGTGGTTACTTTAATTTAAATAGGCTACATATTGGTTCTTTTTAACAACAACAGAAAGTACTCAACAGTACATGCCAATATTCCTCATAACCAGAGAGAATAAATCTTCATAAAGACTCCTCCAATTAAGTAAAAAAATGTACCGTTGACAATATTTATTCTTATGGGGTCAATGTGCATTAGAGGGTATGGTGAATGTTTAAAAGACCTCTCTGGAACTAAAACCATTGGCTTTCTAATTTAGAATTTCTGTCTACTAACACAAAATGATTGATTGTCTTTATTTCATGTACCCCTCAATTTTTCTTTTCATTCATCATGGGCTGCTTTAAACCAAATGCATTTAAAATCTGCCACAAGAAGAGTGGTCTCTTTTAAATTGTTGTAAAGTAATGAAAGAACATAGTAAATCAATCTCATTTCTGCCTTACCAAAGGATAACCTTTGCTCTATTAAAGTTGTTCAGACAATTTCAGTGCTCTACCTCACTTTTTGGGTAATAAACATATATGGCACTGTCATCTCAGAGATGTCTTTAGGATTTGAGTGAAGATAACTAATTCATTAGAAACCTATATATACGCACTCATATATTCGTATTTATCCATCTCAAAAAGCTTTGTTGTTAAAGTGTTCTGCTCTTTCAAATGGTTTCAGCACTACATACTATTCCCTAATTTTGTACGTAGTTATACGTAAGTATCCACGCATGTGTCCTCCTCAAAGACACTCAGGCAAGCATACACATATATCTATTGCATAGGTTAGAAAAGAATAGAGAATTCACAGTGAAGATGAAACCATGACACAATTTTTAAATTTACTATATGGCTCACTGGTCACCAATTAATGCTCTTGAATTAATATAACAAGACTATGAAGCAATATATTTTAAAAGGGAGAACACTGGTTTCACAGTGGCGTTGAAAAAAATTTCTGTTTATGAAGTGTATGTGAGACATAATTTATTTTCCACTTCCCTCTAAGCCATCTGGCCACATGTTTTACCATGAAAGGGAGTATAAGACACAGTGCATGTAAACACCAAAGACTGTGATGACCCTTGAGATCCCTCTCACTTTTATGTTCCTATGACACTGCTGAAATCTCCAAATTTATTTCCATCTACACAAATATATAGAAGATGCATGAATAAGCAATATATGATTTACATGTCATAAACTCAGCCCAGAGAAAATTAAGCATGCTGCTACTACCTTCTGGCATATGACAAGTAGTTTGTAGCTCTTTTCAATGAACTCGCAAGAAGGTGGAGTTGGCTTAACCAGTACCAAAATTGCAGAAAAAAATGTGTCTAAAAACATGCAGTGAAAAAATAAATTTCATTGCACATCCCCAAATTAACTGGAAGTCAGAGACTTTTCAAAGGATACTATGTCAAACTTCACATGAAAAGAAATCCAGAATTACATGCACTGTGCTTAAAAAGAGAGATGTTGTGTATTTTAAAATACAATAAACATATACTGTATATCTTTGAAAAAGAACCATGTTATAGTAATTATAACACATTTCATAATGCAACAATCTTTGAGAGGTTAAAAAAAAGGCAATACACCAGAAAATTTACTGAAAAAATGAATGGTTGGCAAAACCACTAATTGTCATTTGGTATTTTCCTAAAAGTGTACAGATGTTTCCAGTTAGGTCTCACTGGTTAAAAAAAAAAAGTTGGCTAAGCATCAACTATCTTGAATAAGCTATCATCTTTATGATTTTCTCTGAACTCTGCATGTGGTGACCTTTAAAACGGACATACTGCCACCTTGCCCTGGGAGTGGGTAGGGGTAGGGAGTTCCAGATGAAGCCCACTTCAACTGTATCTCAGCAAACACAGAACAGGTAGGTTTTACTGAAAAATGAAACAACTGTTGACAGAAACCCAAGCCTGAGAAAAAAATACAGTACAATAAATACCAAGGACTATTTAACAGCCCTTTTCTTACTGCTACGTTCAGCTTTTTTCCTTGTAATATTCTACATGCTGTTAATCTCAAAGTCCTCTACTGTTAAGATCTAAGAGCAACACAAACACACATCATAAACCACGTTAAAGTTCTAAAGGGTCTGAATTTGTTCCTGTTACTAGCAATGTAGGATTTCTGTATATGCATGGCCTTGCTACTGACTGCAGCTAATTTGTTTGTAAACCATCATTAATCTCGGCTGTATATTTTCACAGTTTGGGTAAACACTTCATTTGCATTAAATTTACAGCATTAATGAGATGTGAAATTTAAAATGCTACTTGAAACATAAATGATGTAAGAAACTAGAACAAAACCGTGGTTTTATCACGTTTGAAATCAGCAGACCAATTTAAACCTATTAAGCTAGAAATGATGATGTGTTGCATTGTGAATTTGGTTTTATAACTCATCTTCTAGAACTAAAATGAAGAAAAGTAGGCTTAAATATCAGGGTAAAAAAAAAAAAAAGCTTGAAAATAATAAGATGGACTTTTGCTTTGGAATTTTTGCTTGTTTTTTAAACTGATTTTGAAATGAATATTTGTTCCTTATACCCCCCATTCTCTTTCCTAAAATCTTATTAAAGGCAACACGTATGAGCTGTTAAAAAATAAAATAATTGAAAGAAATATGATTAGAAGTTCCTTCAGATGACACAAACCTAAGAAATAAATCATATGCTAAATTGATGTTTCTAAAAGGGTTCAGTTTTGGTTTGAATAAACTTCATCTTCAGATGACAAATACTGAAACCTTTAGGATCCCAGTCTAATCCAAGATAACAGTGGCAGCATGTAGGAAGGTAATATCACAAAATCTTCTCTATATCATTACACCTATGTGAAACTTGCCCACCTGTTGCTGGTGTAGGAAGGATGGGTCTCTTGGGCTTAGTCCCACATATCGATTGGCTTGGGATGTGCCTGAGGCTGTGTAGGCTGATTAAGGAAGAACAAAACAGATTGATAAAAATACCAACCTATCATAACTATTAGCCTGTGCAGGTACAGTACAAATATGAGAGATCCAGAGTTATGATTTTGCAATATATAGGATGTGTCTGTGTTTTTTCTTTATATAAACTTTAATAGAATGCAAATGAAAAATTGGACCAAATCTGGAAAGACACATATAAAGTCCTATAAACTTCAATGGAAGCTGCATCGTTAAATCATAATGATGTCTCTTGTTAAATAAAAGTTCCTCTCATTAATATATTTTTAGTTTTTAAAAGTGATTAAATAAGGTATGTATTCGAAGGAATCACAAGCCTGATTCTCATTGCCACTACACTAATCTAAGGCACAAGTGAAATCACTGAGATTACAATGTTGAAAGAAAATATTAGTGCACAATTATTATTCTTACTGCTGTAAAGGCTCATCACAAAACTGTAAAAGAACAACAAAAATTAGAATAAAATGTTCAGTTTGCTTATGTGGCATGAAATGAATCTTTATGGGCATTTGGAAACAGGATGTAATCTGATTAGTATTTTCACGAGAAAGGAGCTAATTTTTACTGTGCAATATAATATTAAATATTCAACTCTCCTATGCATCAGGAAACAATATTTTCCCAGGGGAACAATTTAAGGAAGTCTCTCACTGTCTGCTACAGAAGATTAAAGAAAGCCATTTCTAAGGAGAAAGGGAATAGTAGGTGATGCTGGGATTAGTTACAGGATGTGGACCCTTCACCCGTAGGACACATTCCTGTCTGGTCTCTGTCAGTAATCCCTAAAAGCCATTACCCTCTCATGGCTTTTGGTGACACTTATAAAATGAAGTAGGTGGTCTTACTCGACTCCCCAGTGTGGAGGTGCCCACGCTGCAACTTGCAGCATCACAACCTGGGAACTTGCTGGCAGACAAAGCAAAACTACTAAAATCGAACAGAGATACACAAGGATGCCAGTGAGGAGCTAGATGGGAGTACTTACTCAACTGGCCTGTTAGCATTAAAGTCACACTGCAAATACAAGCAAATGAAATCCATTAATTTTTTTTTTTTTTTTAAAGGCTTTATACAGTAAACAGGCTTTACTGAAAAACTCTCATAAAAATTAATCAGTTATTAGAAGGAAATTATGGTGGAGGCCACAGGGTTCCCCAAATATTAACAAATCCTGCTGTTCTTTCTCATTCAAAACAATTCTGCTATTGCACTTCAGAATGAAAAGCAGTGCTATTCATTTACTGTTTTCTTCTCATCAGACTGAATAATAATGATAACTTGTTGGCCAAGCATATGTTTTTTATATTTATATATCTATATATATTTTGAACCAATCAGTTATTGCAAATAAAAGTAAAACTATGCTTTAAAATATATTTAGTCTTGATTTTCCCATTAAGTGAACATATTAGCACTCTGTGTGGCACATTTATTATGACTGATAATACAGTTTATATATGTTAATATATAATTTATATATCATCAGGACATAATCTCTCATTTTTTGCTGTCGGCTTGATCAACAAGCTATGTTCCTTCGCTTTGTTGCTCTTACAGTTACCAATCCAGTTACAAAATACTTTACCAAGTAGATAGACTACTGCACTGGTCTGAAAACCATAACACTCTGAACATGTAGCATTTAAGTGCTACCTCATATGCAGAACTGGCACATTCAAATAAAATTTGTACACAGGGAGGTTTTTATTATTTTTACATGCTGCAGTGACAAACGGGATCTTCAGGCAAGAAGCTACTTGCACACTGCTGTGGAAGCATGAGGAAGCCTTACTTCAAATGTCTAAGCGGAGATGTTCTAAAGTTCACAGGGAACCAGGTACCCAAGTTCCAATGAATTGCATGAGAAACTGGGTGCCAACTTCATTTGAAAATATTGCCCAAATTTTCCACGTAGTAGTATGAGAAGGAACAGATTAGGTTTGCTTTTCTGTAATGATGAATATTATGGTCAGATTACCAGAAAACATCCCAATGCATTTCTGACACTGTATTTGGGTTTTGCCATTTGTATTAGAAACCCTGACCTCACCTGAGACAGCTATTTAGGACAGGCACAATCATGTCAAACGAAGCAGAATGAAAACATGAATACTTGAAACTATACGTGAACTCAGTTTTCTCAGTTTTCTGTTCTGGACCAAAAGTTTACAGCAACAGCTTCTTGTTTGCTGCTAAAGACAACTCTTCTTAAAAGGTGCAAAAACTGTATGACAAACCACCAGGGAGGATACAGATATACTCTACCACCTTCTAAAAAAACTTCTGCAATACTAAAAGAACACGTAAAATACTTCCATAAATCTATCTATATAATTATTTGTTTGTACTTAAACAGTGGTTTGTCCAAAAGTTACTACTATCCTTTTATAATAAAGGCATAAGCAGTTTTCCTCCTTCACATCTCAACCACTCCTATGCATTTCCTTTTCTCCTCTGCTTCACATCCTAATGAAAAGATTTAAAGTAGTATAACACCTAAGAAACATACAGTTTACGGTCTCCATTAATGACAGACCAAAATTTAGGGACTGGATTGACAGTTCAAATACTAAACAGGATTAGAGCAAGTAACACACCCTAAAGAGATTGGTATTTTTAAAGACTGGTAAGTTTCCTTCCAAAGCATATGTTTGGAAGTCTCTCCTAAAAATCTTCGCCACTCCGATAAATACTGGTGACATTGGCCATCTCAAGTCCACACGGAAGTTCAAAGACAACAGAAATGCAGAAAGTAATTTAAAAGCAACATTCTGCATTACTGAGCATGAGTATTTGGAAAAGAAATTACCCTATACATAGTAACACCTTTGCTCTTATTTCCAAAACTGCAATTCCATTGAAGATAATAGGATAAATAATATGGTCCTATATAGTAATAAAGATCTTAAAACATTAAAATTTTAATGTTTTAATGTTTAGGGTTTGGGGTTTTTTTGTTTTGTTTTGGTTTGGTTTGTTTTTTTAAAAGTACAGTGGATCTACCATCCATTGCAGCAATGTAAGGAATTAAAATTTTCTTTTGCCATGACCATTATGTTTGCTGAAAACGACACAACCTATATCAACATGCAATTGTCACAGCTCAGATTTAGTATGCATTCTAACAAGGCTTGATTTCTGTAGGAAAGCTCATTGAGGAGCAAATTATCCAATCTCTGTTTGGAATTCCATCTGCGGGTCATTGTAAAACCTTGCTGTCTGGGTGTGCTTCTCAATGTCTTAACAATGTCCACCTTAGATGAACAACTGGGTTTTCTTTTTCTTGAATAGTGGTCAAATGCGCAGGCTTTTCCCTTTCATTTTGGTTGTCATGTCACAAACTTTGGTTCATGTAACATGATGCATTGGTTGAAATTTGGGGAGGAAAAGCTTTGCAGTTGGATCACGTTTGCTCTCAATGTAAAATGATGAGCATCCACTTGGTCAAATAGTAGGAAAAGGCACCTTTTTCTGGCCTCAATTTGAGATCTTATCGAATCTTCGATGGACATTTTTTGTTTCCTAAAGAAATACTTACTGGTTGCTGTAGGTGAAGATGCCTCACCTTCAGTGGATGTAGTGATGGGCTTAGTATCTGTCATGGTCAGGGTCACAGGTCGCACCGCACTGTGATGGGGAGAGGGTGCCAAAACTGGAGTAAAATGGCCAGGCACTTTCCCTACTACTTGACCACTGCTGTTAGGCTACAAAACAAAACCAAAAGAATGCCTTGTGAAACATACACATTGCATTTAAGGAACCTACACACCTATCTTAGGGCTTTCCAGCATGCCCATCACTGTAGTACGTGTGTGCTAGAATGCGCCATTTTAGCAAAGCTATCAATTTCTGTGTGTTTTTTTCAGCAGGCAGATCCCTCCTCAGAAAGGTAGTACATTCCTAAGTAGCAGTACGCTTTGGGAAGCTTGCTTTCTTTCTTTCTGGATGCAGCATGCATCAGATTGTTTCAAAACATATTTGCTGTTCATGCAGTGGCTGTGAACCACAGTAAATCCCGTGATAGCAGGATTAAACTGACCAGGCGTAGGCCCCTAATGTACAAAGTATTAAGAGCAAATGAATGATGCAAAACCTCTGTTTTCACATGCCACACCACTCTGGCTTGGAGCATAACCAAGACTTGACCACAGTTGTCCACAGAGACTACACATACTGGAAGGCTAACTAATAATTCACATGTTTGGGAGTGGGGGAGAGGGTTAGGATACAATGTCCTTTAATGCATACGTCATAACATCTGGCCAAAAGCCGCCTACTAAAACACAGAAGTGTTTAAGAATGGGAACTTTGCAAGTCAAGAGCATAATAAACAAAGACAATTCTTTCACAGATACAAGAGACGGTCTGCATATGACCTTATGGTACAGGTCATCAAGGTAATATTCTACTTTCTGCATGTACGCACAACTGAATTTGGCAATGTTCACTGGTAAATGTATATGTTTATCCAATGTTTAAACATGCCTTAGACATTCTGCATGACTGTAAATACTTCAACAGTAAATAACTTGCAGTAAAAATTAGCAAGTAGTAAATAGCTTTTTCAACAGTGGCTAACCACTTTTGTCTTAAACTGATTGTGTGAATCTGTGAATCATAAGTATTTTAAAATACAGCCATACAAAGTAAAAAACACTGGGAGTCTTATTATCAGAAGGATCTTGCCAAATTTGAGATAACTCAGAGTAAAAAAATGGACTGATAAAGGACCTGATTCAAGTGATACAAGGAAAGGTTAAAAGAGGTAAGCATGACTGTGGTAATGAAATAATAACTGAGCTGAGACAATTACTGCAAGTATGTGCAGAGTATAAACACACTGGAGGAAGGAATTATTTGGAAAGTACAGGAAGTATAAACTTGGGGTAATGGAATGAAATTGAGAAGGAGGAAATTTAAAATTAATAGCAGGAGAAACTTCCTGGCAGTATGATCTACTAGACTTTGCAAATGCCCCCAAGGGAGAGCCTTGTTCTTTAGGACATCTAAAACTAAGCTAGAAGAAAACACTAGAAAATATAAGTGCAAATGGACACCAATCTGGTGTTCATAGGAACATCAAGCAGTTAGCAGACTATTTCCCTCTCTAAAATCACAAACCTTACAATGAAAAATAACAGTAAAAATGTGCACTAATGCAAAGTGGCCAACAAACTACCCCTCTAATGAAAAAAAAATCACCCCCCTAAACATCACTGTATGTTTGAAGAGTGTTGTAGTGGGGGTGGGGACAGAAGAGCCATGGAATCCCAAAATTTTGCAAATACAGAAACTGGGTGGTATTTACCACTTTTTCATTTATATTCTTAGTAGAGTAAGCTGAGAAGTTACTACTAGGAGTTTAGTAATGGCAATAAGTGACAGCTGTCAAAGTAGCTTCAAAGTAAGAAAGCAGTCCAGATTCAAAGGAATATCAATACTTTTACAAATAACAGAATTTCCCCAAATAACTGGCATGATACATTAAGTTTTATTCGCTAGGTGAAACTTAACATTTAGATAGATCTCCCTTATTATGCGTACTTGAAATGAAAATGAGATGTGGCAGAATATATACAAGACAACTTTTAGAGAAGAATGTGGTCTAAAAGTTTACTGAGTATCTGCTTGCATGCTTACATGACCAATGGGTCATAAGTGGGGAACTCAGTAAGTACAGAGGTCTTTCCTCAAGAATACAAATTACATCTTTATGTAACAGCAGCCACATATTAAGTATGTGTCAATAAGTCCACTTTCTTTGAGATCTATCTTAGCAGTGTGTTAGGGAATTTTATTTTATGGGCTCTATTTTAAAGGCCTGCCAGACTAAACCCAGATTTCTTAATGACCAGAAATTTGACTCCACCTGCCTGAGAAGAAAATGAAAATTTTAACTAACATAAATTCAGAAAATCTCTAAGAGTTACTTAAAAAAAATTCCCCATACAAATGACCCAAGATACTCCAAAACTTAGAGGCAAGTATCCTCACTCACTGACTGCGAGTTGTACGGAGTTCGAGACATCTCAATGTTGCAATAAAACAGACTTTGTTGTAGGTAAGGGAGCCGTGACTCAGTTTGAAGCATTTGTGGGGAAAACTGTCAGAAATATAGGTGGGCCTTATGAAAACTTTTCCCTAAAACACCAAAATTTTTGTCAGTAAGACCTGCTTTCTATGTTAGATTGGAGTTTCAGTATGTTTCTGGGGATCCTGCTGCAGAGCCAAGCCCTGTTTCCTGCCCTGGCAGCCCAGCTGTCCACACAGCCTGCTGAAGTGACTACCAAGTCTCACTTACGTCTGGTACTCCTTGGTGGAGTCACTGACTTGTGACCACAGGGCTACCTTAGGAGCCTTAGCTCATGTGGTGTGCTAACATATCACAAAAACAACTGAGAATTCCTTATCAAAAGGACCAAATTTTATTAAAAACTAAGAAAGAAGATTCCAAGGAGTTTATGCATTAAAACAGCCAGTGTCATAGGCTTCCAAAAGGAGCTTTCTCCAAAGCCAGACTCGAATGAATTCGAGGACACAGCTGGAGACCAGGTTGATTTACAGCAATGTATCACCTTCTGCTGTTCCCTAGTGATCCCGATCAACAGGAATGCAATGGCTCACATGGACTCCAGCTTAGTCCTGGTTCATATGCTCCAAATGAACAAACCCTTTCCTTGCTGAGTTATAAGATATAGAATATACTTATATCACATAAACCATGTTTTTCCCTCATGATACATAACAGCAGTCCAGTACATCACCCCACTTCATGCAAATTGAGGGTGAAATCCTGTACTTGTTGAAATCCACGGAGAATTTGCTAGTGATTGTAGATGTGGTTTGTTGCACATGCACCCCCCACATGTCTACATTTCTACTTATTTTCTTTTTTTTTAGTGTCTTCTTCAATGGTAGACATTGATTCATATCTGTTCTACATTCAAAACTAAGTGCAGACACAATAAAATGAAACAGATCTGCAACTTCTAGATAGAAAAATAAAACCTCCAAAGTTAGAAAAGGGAAAACTCGTTACTTCAGTAAGTTTAATTCTTTCAGTTTCAACATTTCAGCCTCTGAGTGTACATTGCATTTCAAATGCAATTACAACCTAGTTACCTGCCTCTTAACAATTTCATTGCATATTGTCACATTTCCCTAAATATTTTCTGACTGCACTTTATGATTTATTCTGTTTTTAATTTTTGTAATTTCTAACATCCATTCTTTTCCCTTTTCAAGTGCTTTACCTCTGTTTTCACATTTGTAACATAATATCTGTTTTAAAATTTTGCAGTAATATGTCAAATACTGTATATCACAAAAACTGTTCAGGTGTTATCGCTCAGCAAACAAGATAACACAAGAAAGGGTAAGTACACACAAGACAGAGCTTGGTGTATCATGTCTAAGAACCTAACTTCTTCCACCATAATGGAAGTTTCCTGTATTTAAATTTTTAACTAACCTCAGTTGTAGGTAAGGACATACCTACCAGGACTTTTACATATATAATTCTTTTCCAGCAATCCTAGCTGTCTTTCAGTTGTGAACCAAGGTCCTCCCTTTGACATAGTTTGTCATGGGAAATGGTACACATGATATTTTCTTAAAACATCAGTGTTTCTCCCAGCTGCGCTACATTTGAAAACAGAGTTTATGAAAAGCAGTCTCGTATTCCCCCAAACTCGGTCATATGAACGTCACTCATAAGAAACCTTCCTGAAACGTCCATAACTTGTGTTTCTTGCATGCCGTGAACAACAGTGAAGCAGGTAACGGAACTGTATTTAAGATATCATAATTTGTTTGCTGCTGAAGATCATAAAGTAGTCCTAAATAAACAGGTCATTGTCTCAGAGCTGTTGCTCAGGCCTGTCTTCAGACTCATGCTGACATTGCTGCATTGGTTTATATTCAATTCACACTTCTACCATTAACTTTGCAAACAAAAAACTAAAAGATTTTCCAGTAAAGGTCTAGATTCTGGACCACGGTAGTTGATAACAGTACAAGCTCAAGAACACTGGCTGTCTCAGATGTCTCACGTCCTCTATCCTGCTTTAAGTTTTCAGTGCAAAGAGGGAAACCCTCTGGTCAGAAATGGCCCTCCGAAGTGGTCAATTTGTAATTTTATTAAAAACTGGCTTCTAGAAATAGCTTCTGTGACCTGTTCTCCTTTTAACTTTGGCAATTATGTCAAAAGTTATTTTACCATGGAAACTATATATCCATTTGGACAGTATCCACTTGAATTACAAGTGCAAATATTTTTGCACATCATCTAATACAAATTCATTTTGTTCTTATTTAAAACAAGTTCTAGGTTCTAGTTCCAGTTTTCCCTGAAGACATTCTTACAGATGAATGCATTACAGGTGGAAAATCAACTGTTACCATCAAGTAGGGCGTCAATATGTCTATGTGATGGATTCACAAACAGAGAGATGACGCCTGAGGCATAAACCTCAAGCAAATTGCATGGAGGCAGCTGCGTTAGATAAACAAACTGTGCATTTGAAAATAGAAGGAAAGAAACAAACAGAATGAAGGTCTGGCAAATTTAGCCCCAATTTATGCAGGTATACATTTTTCTATTGTTGGATTGGGGGCTAATTTCTTTTTCAAATCTATATTACATTTTCCAGCTTTTTAATTCATACCATCTTGAATTGCCACAGATTAATCCATTCATGCGCCC